AGAGTGAAAGACTCCTTCCCCCAAATATTCTGTGGTTCAGTTCCCAGTGAGGGGCAGTGGCATCTTTCCTACCTGCTGGGCCACAGATTAGCCATATTTTTCTGTGTTTCTTTTCTTTCATTTTTTTTAGGTATCATTTACACACAGCAAAATACCGGTATTTTAAGCCCACGGCTTGATGAGTCTTACACAACTCTAGTCAAGCTACAGAAACTTTAATGCCCCAGAAACTTTTCTCGCGCCCCCTTCCAGACAATCACCCCACCAGAGGTAACACTTTTCTGATTATTATTAGTATTTTATCACTCAAATCAATCTATAGTGTGTTCCAGTCCCCCAGAGAGTTCTCTGATGCCTTAACTTGATCAGTACCTGCTCCCTTAAGTAACTGTAATTCTGACTCTTATTGCCATAGATCAACTTTGCTTTTTCTTGAATCTTTCACATGAATGGAATCATCAAACATTCTTCTTTTTACCACCATAATTTTCTTTTGATCTCCATTCATATCACCTATCAGTAGTTTGTTCCTTTTCCTTGCTGTGTAATATTCTGTCGTGTGGCTTTGCATCAGTTGGTTGATTCATAAGTATCCCCCAGGCCCGGCTTGTTCTCGGATTTCCTTATCTTCAACAGCTTCTGCATCAGCTTCTCCTTACACCTCTGTCTCTCAGTCGTTGAGCAAAAGCTAGAATTTGGGCTCCTGGCAACCAGCACTGTGTCCATTCTGTTCACTGCTGTATCCTGAGTGCCTAGGACAGAATGTGCCATACAGCAGGTGTTCCGTGTTTGTATAATGAGTGAATGAACACATGTCCAGACACGTAGTTTTATTTGTCTTCTCTCCTGGCCTTGGGGATACTTTCCCGAGCAAATCAGAGCTACAGGATTCTCAGGACAATCTCTTTGCCCGCAGACTTATGTGAGGACCTGCAGATCATACTCAAGCTCTCTCGAGAAGAGCCTTCCTAACCTCTAGGCCAGGTTGGGTCCCTTTGCAGGCCTCCTCTCTGTCTCTGTCGCCCCCATCATGACCCTCATTGCACTTGATTGTCATTGCTGCTCTGATTGGCCGCCTTACCCTCTGATTCCACAGGCACGCACAGGCACGCACAGCCTGTATTTCTTTTCACCACTACATTCTCCACTCCACACCCTGGCACATGAGAAGCACAGGGTATGTACTAGATAGGCTTTTTTTCACAGGGAGTTTCTCTCTGCCAGACTGTGCCTCTGAAGACCCCAGCCATTAGACAAAGTCCTTTATGAAGAGAGAAGTGGATTTGAAAACGTGACTGCTGCTAAGGCTTGAACGTTGGTGTCCCACCCCCTTCAGATTTCTGTTGAAGTTCTAACCAACCTGCCCACCCTCATCCATGTGATTGTATTAGGTGGTGTACCTTTGGAAGGAGATCAGGTATAGATGCAGTCATGGGGGTGGAACTGCCACGTTGGGATGAATGCCCTTATAAGAGGAAGAAGAGCCTGGAGAACTCTTTCTTTCCTCTGTAGGAGGACACAACGAGGAGCCAGCACCTTGATCTTGGACTTCCCAGCCTCCAGCACTGTGAGAACTGTCTGTTGTTTAGTCCGCCCCATCTGTGGAGCTTTGTACTGTCAGCCCATGCTTCTAAGACCTCCTCCGTGGGGGATTTCTACTTAGGCTATAGCACTTCATGGGCAGGGTCTTGTCTTCACCCTTTACGTATTTCAGCCCCAGTATTAAATCTATGAATGTGTTTGGTGGGTCAGGGCCATGGGAAGCTAGACATTGACTTGGGGTTGTCCTGAGGAAATCCTTGCATGTTCATTTTCACCCAAATGTTTGGGAGCCTGGAAGTACTGGATCTGTGACCTCTTCATCAAGTTCCATCCACTTGCATGGTTGTACTCCCAACCTCGAGCCCCTGCAATGAAGGGTGGCTTCCAGAGAACAGTAAGCTACTACGGGCATGCGGTCTGTCTCCCTTTATTTTCCACACGGACTCTTCAGGGCTTCAGAAGGGTTTGTGATTCCTGAACGCTGACCGCACAGAGCTCCAGGAACTGTGCTTGTGTGCATTTTTCTGGGAAGAGAGCCTGGAATTTCTTACCAGATTTTCATAAGGACCCATGCATCCCCTAAAGTTGAAAACTACTGGTGTCGAGTCCTCTAGTGATCCTTCTAGTTCGTTCTTGAAATATCTCAAGTCCAAGAGTAGAAAGTGTGGGCAAAAGTGCTGTCTGAGCCCTGAGTTCTAATGCCCACCCCTACCCCGCCTTCTCCTGGTTGTGAGCCCTCCCCGGGCCTCAGTTTCCCTTCTGCCGACTCTGGTGGTGGCATTCGATGGCTGCAGAGGTTCCTTGCACTGTCTGGTTGGACAGTTCACTGCAGACAGAGCGGAGAGCTGACCCAGATCAACACGATCTCCCTGTACATTTAGTAAAAAGGTGGTGCCTATCCCCCCCAAAAAAATAGTGCGTCTTACCCCAGCTTCTGTCCCTTTGAGCCACTGGTACTTGTGGCTTCTAAAGAATGCCAGTGATAATCAATAGATTATTAAAAAATAAAGACAAAGCAATAACCTGATGTCTCTTGGCATCAGGTACAGGCAACACTGATATTTCCTTGATATATTCTTGGGGAGTCAGAGGGAGACATGGCTGCATCGCTCGTCTGCACTTGGACGTGTGAACCAGTAAGTCATCTGAGAGGGAGACATGTATATCGTGATGGGAACGTTTATAACTGCACTCATACCACCCACCAGAAATACACAAAGAGAGGCACAACATTTGGAAAAATTAATGCTTTATTTTCTTCCCAGTGGTCAGCAATTTACTGCTCATGCTTGAAACAGGAGAGCAAAACCATGGTGGAAAGTTGATGGAGGAGAGTTTAATGTGGCCCCTTGCTCCAGCCCCAAAGCATTGAAGTCAGCTGCTCTTAATTCTGTCCAGGTCCAGTCTGTGAATAATTAGATTAAGGAATCAGGCAGGGTCATCACAGAGCTACAGATACCACCCCGGGGGCCTCATTGGAGACTGATGGGAACTCCAGAGAGTTGATAATGGTGATCAAAGGCCCTATAGATTTTAAATGCACAAAGGATGAGCCCAGAAATAATCTGCCTGCCGACTTAACTTCTCTACCTGGAACAAATTATCCAAAAATCAATTTGCAAACACCTTTGAGATAACAAGGCCTTGAGAAATAACCTCCATGGCTTTGTAAAGAAGAGCATCCAGCTTGACTAATCTGCTTAATTTCCTTCTCTGCCCAAATGGCAGGCTGTAATAGAGGCAATCTGTAGCTGCCCCTTAAGATTTGCTCTGAGTCACACTGAGAAAATATTGTCCACCTCTGTTTCAGAGCAATTATTCCGTTTGTGGAGAATCTTTGTTGCCAGGTAATTAATTAGAAAACACCGAAGGAGCTGAATGAGTTTTATTCATCCAGAAACTCTCACCTGAGTTCTAAACTGAAACTCATCCCTGCCTCAGCCCCCTGAATGACGCAGAGGTTCCCCCAAAGCTCTGAAACACATCTGCATTGTGTTTACCCCCCCCATACCTCTCCCACCCTCCACTTCCTAATTCTGCTCACAGCAGAATCATTAACTCACTCATACCCCTTGACAGATAATCCCACTCCTGGAAGTGGGTCCTAAGAAAATATGAGACAAGCAGGACAGGAGTCATTTGCACAAAGATGTCCGTGGCAACACTCTTTACCATAGCAAAATGTGGGCCAACTCACAGGAGCGTCAGCTGGGGAATAGTTTGTGTGATTAACTGATGGATTATCTTGTAGCTATTAAAGGCAGTGATGGTAAGATCTATGTGGTACCTGAGCAAAGCCCTTAGAATATAATAAGTAAAGGAAAGACAGACACACTGTGTCTATGTGCCACTGGAACTCCCTGGAAAAAGTTAGTGTATGTGAGTAGGAATTGGAATGGAACGCAGAGAAATAAAAAAGGCTGTTACGTTGGTTGGGTGATAGGGAAAGGAACCTATTTCCTCTTGCTTCTCACTTTCTTTATTGTTGCACTGCTGTGTTTTGCAACAAATAGAAAATACCCACTTCGGTTTTTACAAAATGGGCATCACGAGGTAAGTAGCCTCCGGAGGGGAGAGAGCGGGTCTCGGGAGGTGTGCAGTGGTGGCTTCCGTCCTGCCCGATCCCGTGATCTCGAGTGGGTGACCTGGCCACCTGAGTTCTCAGGGCTTTTTCCATCAAAATAGAGGTAGTACTGTCCCAAAAACTTCACAAAGTAATGTATGTGAGACTTCACGGGAAAAAGTACAAAACTCAGGTGGATTTCTGCAGCTTTGCTGGTGGGAGGCGACCATAAGTGCCCGTTGAAAGCCTGGTTGATTTAGCTGAAGATGCAGAACTTCATGGGAGAGGGGTAGCAACAGGTAACACACACAACACAACTTGGCGTGACTTGACCCTTGACCCCCATCAGGGGCGCTGTGGCCAGTGACATGGTTCCTGCTGGAGGAACCTGCTACGATTGAGGAAGAAGTGAAATTCTTCCTGTGCCAGCATCCATTGGCCACTTAGGCTCCAGTCCATCTTCAGGGGAACTTCCCCTAACAATCTACGTGTTCCTGGAAAAGACGTGTTTGTGAACCTCAGGCTCCCCTGGAGTTTGAACCAAACTGCAGTCCAATAGAGGCCGGTTCTCACTGGAGGACTGAAAGCAGAATTATCGACCCAGACCGCTTGGCTGGGTTCTGGAGGAAGCATTGGCTTGCAGTTGCCTTCTTTCTTCCCTTTCTTTAGATGAAAGAGATCTGGTAGGTGGTAAATATTGTTACTGAAGAAATACTGATTCGGGTACTAATGGGCAACGTTGTGAAAGTTACAGTAAGACATGAATGGGTTTAAAAATGGATTTGGGCTGTTTCTTTGCGGCTGTCTCTGGAATCCTGTCCCTTTTCCTCACGTGCTTGGATTCTGTTCTGTGAGCCACGTGAGCCTCACATTCGCTTCTCGTTGTGTCTTTCAGAGCCTCCCACGCCCATCGCACCCCCAGAGCTGCTGGCTGTGGGGGCCACGTACCTGTGGATCAAGCCCAACGCCAACTCCATCATCGGGGACGGCCCCATCATCCTGAAGGAGGTGGAATACCGCACCACCACCGGCACCTGGGCTGAGACCCACATCGTTGACTCTCCCAACTATAAGCTGTGGCACCTGGACCCCGACGTGGAGTACGAGATCCGGGTTCTGCTGACGAGGCCAGGAGAGGGGGGCACAGGGCCACCAGGGCCTCCGCTCACCACCAGGACCAAGTGCGCAGGTAAGCGCCCCCTTCCTGACTTCATCTGCAGAGGCTGGGCCATCGCCGTGCGCGGTCCTCCTCTTGGCTTTCCGTGACCATCGTTCCTCAGCCTCCTTGATGTGAGTGTGCGTCCCGTTGTGTGGCAAAGCCGTCAAGGCACTGGTCCTGGCCCGAGAGGACCTTCTGGCTTTGCTGGCATCTCTGCAGACTGCCTGGCTCTGACTGCGTGCCGTGAAGGTCTGGTCGGGACTCGGTCTCTGAGTGTTTCTGCTTCTGGTCCCCGTTGTGTACCTAAGGTTCCTGGTTTCTGCTGTGTCCCCGAGGGCCTCAGGAGTTCTTGGTTTTGACAGTTTCCGCAAGGGTTCCTGGTTCCAGTTCTGCCTTTGAGGGGCGCCTGGCTCTGAAAGTGTCTCTCAGTGGATTCCGGAGCTGCTTAGTCACAAGAGCCTCCTGGGTCCAGGTTTCTTGGGGGCTCCCGGCTCCTGCCTAAGAGTCTCGGTTGGGACTGACCCTCCAAGGGTCCTCTGGATTGTCTGTCCCTACAAGCCCCTGGGCATCCTGGGCTCCAGCTCTTTCTCTGAGGTCCCTGCATGCTGCTTCAGAGTTTCCTGGCTGGGACCGGGGCTGGGAGGGCTCCGTGGATCCAGCTTTATCCCTGTAGGCCCTGGGCCTCCCTGGAGTTTCTGATTAGGGCTGTTGGCTGAGAGCGTGTCTCTAAACGTATCCCTGAGATGTTCCAGCTCTGAATGCAACTCAAGAAATTAAAAAGAACTCGATGTTCTTTTTTGTTTTCGTATCACATGATTTATGTTATCTCATGTTTCCCCTCTATGTTGCCTTTCAATATGAGTATTTTGATCTCATACACACATGAATGAATGGAGACTCATTATTTTTAAGTGTTTTGTCCAAAGTCATGGAGTCGGCCAGTGGCACAGTCAGAACTTGCACCTGACTCGAATGCCCTTGCTCGTGGGCCACACTGGGAGGAGTAGGCAGGGAGGTGTGGGCCCCTGTGAGGTCGTGCAGCTGGGGGTGCTTCACTGGGGGGTCAGGGAAGCCGTGGCGTGGGCTGCGGGGTCCAAGGGGAAACGGTGCGGATAGAAAGACCCATCAGCACAGTGACCACCATGGAACAAAAGCCATGTAAAATACAGTCAGTTCCGCTGTAATGTGACAAGCGTGTTCCTAAGGATCACTGCACTAAGGAGAGTTATGCAGTTAAACCCCTGGGCTCGTGAGGCACAACACCTGTGCTCCATCAGGGACACGTTAAAAAAGACAGAAACCTAGTAGAAATGGTGGCACAGTTCTGCATGTTAATGCCCAGATATGCATAAAATGGCAACACCTAGGGTGTGTTACCTTAACACATCCTGACGTTTGCTCGTATGTGGGCGGCAGAGAGGTCTCGGCCTGTGAGGTGCTGTGCAGTGGGGCAGGAGGGAGGGCTGTGTGAAAGCAACAGACCGTGACAACGCCAGGTGTGGACGGGCGTGGCTCGCAGCTTGGGCAGTGAGCCTTTCCTAACATGCTGATCATGATGGAACGCATTCATGTCGTCAGGACGAGCGTTCTAGAGAAGTCGACAGTGACCTTTCTGAAGTGTCACAGTGCTGTATTGCGGCACCGCGTAACCCTAAGTCAGAATTTCCATTGCTTGGGAGCAGTCCCTCGAAAGTTACTGAACTGCCGTGATGAAGAGAGATGCTGGTTCCTTGATTACTTTTAAAAAGTGGGGCCTTTGGTAAAACTCCTCATGGAAACCTGATTATGAAACGTATCACTTTAAAAGGACATAAGCTATGTCATTAATTCAGGGACTGCCTTAGCTCGGCTATGCAATTCAATATCCATCCATAAAAATAATTGATTCGATCCTGCCGATGAGACTTTCCTCTTTCCGTGGGGTAAATCTAAGCGTTTCCAGGGGTTTTGAGCTTTATGAATGCTGTTCGAAGGACTGTGGCAGCCCCCGTGGACGTATTGCTGATGATCCTATAATGTATTTTGAAATTCAATCACAAGATGATCATCTCCATAAAAATTTACGATCTATTGAAAATTGTTGCCGTGACCGTGTAATGGATTTTACATGTGGAAAACACAATGGTCTGACTAGCACTATAAAAATTATGAGTTGAAATGCTGTTTGTGGTTTTAGATTTAAGAAAATGTTGATGTTTTGAGTTTTGACTAAAATCTCCAATAACCCACATTTTAGATGATAAAATGTATCATCTAGAAGATAATCTTCTTGCTCACACGACCACTGATAGGAGAATGTTCTTTGCCTCGTGATGAAGTTTTGAGAGAGTCCAAGGTCGACAGTCATTTGTGGATGCCGTTTATTGGGGTTGGTAGTTGTCAGTCCCCCCCACCCTTTTCCTGTTCACTATTAATCGCACTGAAAATATACTCATTATTTTACAAAACAGAAAATGAGAGAGCGTGGAGTGTGCAAGGTTTAATTTCTGCCCAGAGGAATTTACAGGCTGGGCTAAGATTCCCACAGAACAGCATAAAGGGTAAAACATAAACATCGAGTCTGGTATTGAAATAGCAAACTTCATGGAGGAGAACAAGGCTGATGTGGAAGGGGCAATGGTCATGGAATGATCCAGAGCAGTGGTTTTCAGAGAGTGGCCCCCAGACTGATACACTGGCACCCCCTGGGAACTCGTTAGATATGCAGATTCTCAGGCCCCACCCTGGGCCTGATGATTCTGAAGTTCTTGGGTTGGAGCCCATAGGTATGTGCTCTAAGGAGCCCCCCACCTGAGGCGTAACGATGCACACCCACATTCAAGAGCCACTGACCCACCAACACACCACCCTGGGAATGCCCAGTGATTGCTTGGTCCTTGAGGCAACTCTGAGAGGTAGATGGGGGGAAAACTGAGGCTCAGAATCATCAAGCCAGGGTTACAAAGCAATTATATCCTCAGAGCTAAGCCTCTTGGCTTAAGGAACTCCCCCAGTGCATGGACTGATGGAGTTTCCTCTGCAAGTGTCCACCTGAGTGTGGGATTGGGTGATAGGGAGGCTGGTAACTATGGAGACCAGGTGAGCATGAATGGCTGCCATGCGCCGCAACAATAGTCCTTTTCCCCAAACACCTACTGAATCAATCACTTCTATGTGCCAGACCCTGTGCTAGGCACTGGTGGCAGAGGCTGGCCTAGTAGGGACATGCTAAAAGCAGGCAGAGGCCCTCAGCAAAAAGCTACAAGTTCAAGTATAGGCCAGGAACACACCAGAGGGCCAGGTCAGCAAGGGCAGGTGTGACAGGTCACCATCAGGGCACTGGCAAGGCCCAGCCCTTAAGTGAGAGACCATCAATAAGACTGGCAGCATCCCAGACCACGAGTGGAGAGTTCAGAGTAAGACTTGTAGCCAAGTCTGAGCCTGGACACACTGTCGGGTAGGACTCTGGTAATGTGGGGATGGGAGAGAAGAGCCAAGGATGAGGCTCCCAGGCTTCTGGTTGGGATGACTGAGAGACCAAAGGTGGAGCCATTGTCCGAGGTGGAAAACACGAAAGATGGCCTAGGGGCCCAGGGAGTTCCTTTAGATCTGCACCAGTTCCACGGGAGGCGGGGCTGCACAGCAGGAGGTGTGTGGGTCCACCTGGAGCACAGGTGAGACTGCAGATTACCTGCCCCTCTGTGGGGAGAATTACCTGATTGCACCTGGAGTTTAGAATCAAAGGGGCTTCTTAGTACTGATGAAAGCAATTTAATTCTCTTTCTTTATGCTGTTCTCTTGAGATGCCCCATTCATTTACGTTTTCCATTCATCATTTTGTTCCTTTTGCTCTGTTTAATCATTCACCATCGTTCCTGAGATACAGGCCCAGGGAGCCAATGTGATGATGTACATCAAAGTGCTTTGGAAAGCTCAAAATGCTCTTTAGATGCTTATAATGAAACAAATCATTATTATTTGTTGCTGCTGTTGTTACGCATGTTGTGATCATGAATCATCATATCAAAGCAGGAAGTCTGTCCTGACCGTTCCTCTGGGCTGACTGGCATCTGGAAAGGTGGGCTGTATTCTTTTGTTGTCCTTCATCATCCGACAGGAAATCCCATTTCAGAGCATCGTGACCATAGTGCAGGATGGACTCTCAGAGGTGTTCTTTTCTAGAACGGTGGGTGGTGTCCTCTGGCACATTCCCAACAGCAGACATCCAGGGGTAGGAGTTGGGCCTAGGGGGGGCTGTCTGATGCCTGCCCCCCACCCCCGCATGGAATATCACCTTGAGTGCTGCCCCCGGTGGGAAGTTCACACTCCCCATGGCAGACTATTTCACTGCTGGGGACCCCAGGGGTTACTATTACTCTCCCCAGTGTTGGCCTGATTATCGTGCAACTCTAGATGGGGGTTCTTTGTAGGAGCAGAGATTGCCCATTGGGTTTAAAAGAGTTGGGGCAGTAGACAGGCCGCTAGCATCAACCATCTGGAGTCCCCAAGGAGAACCGAGGGCACCAAGGTCAATAAGTAGGGAAGGCAGGCGAAATAAGAAGTGCAGACACAGCACTGATGGTCCCTGCATCTCTTCTGCAGACGTCACTTTGAATGTCCTGGGCACTTTCTTGCTGATGTCTTAAGCTATCACCAGCATCAGACAGAGAAACTCGCCCTCACTGTAACCTGAATCTGTCTCCATGCAAACTCACTCGTGGACCTGGTTTTACTCTCAGGGAACATATTCCTTCTTATCTTTAAAACAGGCCATCAGCCATCTAAAGTTGTCTTTTTTAATCTCCAGAAAGCTTCCCCCTTTGTTCCCCTAGAGCAGGGGTGTCAAGCTCATTTTCACCTCGGACCACATCAGCCTTATGGTTGCCTTCGAAGGGCTGACATAATTTTAGGACTGTGTATATGTAACTGCTCCTTAACAGTTGAAGAGTTGAAATTATATTCGTCCCTTTGAAGGCAACCTCGAGGTTGATGTGGCCCCTGGTAAAAATAAGTTTGATACCCCTTCCTTGGAGCCCTGGGTGAGCCAGAAT